ATGCACAGCTGCTATGGCCTCCCTGAGAAAATCCTGGCTTCTTGCAGCTTGTACAGAGGTTGAAACCCCGGCTGTAGTTTTAATCTCTGTTATCCTAACACAGATAACAGCTTCACCGTTGCTGTGATTAAGATCATGAAACCCAGAAAGCCCCATGGGGAGAAACTGAATCCCACACCTGGGTCCTTCAAGCAACCTTGTGCCAAGCAGGAGCAGACATTGTGGGGTGGGACCTGTGGTGATATGCCTCCTGTGTTCAAGGAATCGCTGAAGAGCATCATACCTCTAGCAAGTACCGAGAGCATTTAAAAATGGGCAAGTTCTGCATGTCAATGCAGGACCAGTGGTCTGGGGTCATAGGCCCCTTACTATTTCTGCAGCAGGGTCCAGCATCCTAAGTCGGCCAAATCAGCATGAAAGGCGTCATGGGAAAATTGGCTCCCCGCCACTCATTCCCAGGTGGGAAATTGACCTGAAATAAATGGACAGAGACCAGGCTAAAATCAAAAACTCTTCAACAAAGGAGATCTTTTGCTGACTGCCAACAGGACGAATCTTACAGGTAAATAAAGGTAGCTGCATGTTACAGCCACACACCTTTTATACTTTTTACAATCAGGGAGTCGCTCCTGCCTCTTAAAATCTTAAAACTGGGGTGCCACAGGCAACACTAGCCTCTGTCCCTCTTTCCTACCCCTGATGATCACTCCCTTCCTCCTCTGATACCCACTGTGTCATGTTGTTGTTTGTTGTTGTTTAGTCATTTAGTCGTGTCCGACTCTTCGTGACCCCATGGACCAGAGCACACCAGGTACTCCTGTCTTCCACTGCCTCCTGCAGTTTGGTCAAACTCATGTTGGTAGCTTCAAGAACACTGTCCAACCATCTCGTCCTCTGTCGTCCCCTTCTCCTTGTGCCCTCCATCTTTCCCAACATCAGGGTCTTTTCCAGGGAGTCTTCTCTTCTCATGAGGTGACTGTGTCATAGTGGTTACCTAAGAACATAAGAAGAGTCTGCTGGTTCAGGCCAATGGCCCATCTAGTCCAACATCCTGTTTTCACAAGGACCACCAGATGCCTGTGAGAAAGGCACCAAGCAGGATCCAACCAAGTCAGCACTCTCCTCTCCTTTGGTTTCCAGCAACTGGTACTCAGAAGCACTGCTGCTCCCAACCACTATTCCACCATTACTCATGGGGGCATTTCCAGAGAGTAGCATTGGCTGATTGCTTTTCGGGTTCCATATTATTTCCAACGCTATTTAAAATCTCTATGAAACCACTGGGGGATTTGGGGCATGATGTCACCTGTACATTGAAGACTCACTTCTCTGTTTTTCTGTGACATCTGAATCAGCTTTGGCTGTGCAAGTCCTTGGTTGGTATCTGGACTCAGTGGTGGGTGGGATGAGAGTGAACAAACGGAAACTGGATCCTTCTTAAGCCAGAAGCTCTGTTTATGGGTGGTTTCCAGGTCCAGTAGCTTGCTCAGTAACCTATTTGTGATGGGGCCACACTCCCAATGAAGGAGAAGGTTCATAGCCTGGGAGTGCTACTAGATTCATCATGGACGCTGGAGGCCCAGGTGTCTGCAGTGATGAGGAGCGCTTTCTACTGCCTCTAGCTGGTGCACCCTTTCCTGGACAGGGACAAGTTGGTCACGGTGATGTGCGCACTGGTAACTTCAAGACTGGATAATTTCAAGGTGCTTGTGTTGGGCTACCTTCAAGGCTGGTCTGGAAGCTGCAGCTAGTGCAAAAGGCAGCAGCTAGATGACTTTGTGGAGCAGCCCATCCTCAGCATATGTCACCAGGGCTGTTAGAACTGCACTGGCTGATGAAGTGTTGCTGGGTCAAGGTCTTACTTTCAGTTTAGAAGACCCAGAACAACACAGGACCAGGACCACTTTGCTCCCCGTGACCTCTGCACTCAGTTGCTGGGGCCTTGTGGCATATGGAAAGGTGGGGCTGGCTCGCCTGTGTCATTTTTTCAGCTGTCCTACTTTTCTTCTGGCCTGCTCTTAGCTTTCAGTCCTCATCCAATTAGCAATGCATATGCAGAGTCAGTGGGACTTTTTTTCTTTTTCAAATACGGACTGTCCCATATGATAGGTATGCAAATAAGCAGTCTACTTTTAGATTGAATTTAATACTTAAAAAAACACAACAACTTAAGCTTGGAAAAAACTGAGTAAGTGTGATAACAGGTTGCCCAGGCGTTGCATTTAAGAACAGCCTTTCAATTATTCTTCAAATGGGACTTCTTAGAATCAGAGTGTTCTTGGCTTAGCTTCTTTAAAAAGCGCTCAGAAGTTTCAACTGATGCAAAATTTTGCAGGAAGGGTTCTAGGAATAGTCCATGTAGGGAGCCTATTGTTGTACAGTGGTACCTCGGGTTACATACGCTTCAGGTTACAGACGCTTCAGGTTACAGACTCCGCTAACTCAGAAATAGTACCTTGGGTTAAGAACTTTGCTTCAGGATGAGAACAGAAATCGTGCTCCGGTGGCGCGGCAGCAGCGGGAGGCCCTATTATCTAAAGTGGTACCTCAGGTTAAGAACAGTCTCAGGTTAAGAACGGACCTCCGGAATGAATTAAGTACGTAACCAGAGGTACCACTGTACGTTACCACCATAGCTGTCAACGTTTCCCTTTTTTTAAGGGAAATTCCCTTATTCCGAATAGGATTCCTTGCAAGAAAAGGGAAAAGTTGACAGCTATGTTCACCACTTGGCCAATCAGTCCACATTCTATGGGCTTCTCCTTCTTCTGGTTTCCTCTGGAGAGAGCATGGGAGAGCCCTGGTGTTCCTGCAGTGTTTATTTCATTTACAAATAGGCTTGTTAAACAGCAGCAAGCACTGTGTGCACTCCTGCCGTGACACAGATCCATTGTCTCCTATCAGATCCCGTAGGAACACAGGATGCCTGTCTTCAGTGGAGGTTCCTGTGTGCTGCCAAGTGTTGTACGGTCCTCCCAGGTTTCTGAGCCCCTCCCCAAACCTTCCAAGCCGTTGTCCAGACTTTATCCTGATATCCAGTGTCATTGTTTAATGACGTGGGTGGTGCTGTGGTCTAAACCACTGAGTCTCTTGGGCTTGCTGATCAGAAGGTCAGCAGTTTGAATCTGCACAGCGGACTGAGCTCCTGTTGCTCTGTCCCTGCCTCTGCCAACCCAGCAGTTTGAAACCACGCCAGTGCAAGTAGATTAATAGGTACCACTGCAGCAGGAAGGTAAACAGTGTTTCCGTGTGCTCTGGTTTCCATCACGGTGTTCAGTTGTGCCAGAAGCGGTTTAGTCATGCTGGCCACATGACCCAGAAAGCTGTCTGTGGACAAACGCCAGCTCCCTCAGCCTGAAAGCGAGATGAGCGCTGCAATCCCAGTCGCCTTTGACTGGACTTAACCATCCAGGGGTCCTTTAGCTTTTAGTGTTGTGCTGTTTTTACCATCTGCATTTTTATAGAGTTGTTTTTACATCATTTCAAATTCTAACTATTGTCTTTTATATGTTTAGCTATCTGTGGTTGGGTTTTTTGTGAGCCACCCAGGGAAAAAGGTGGGATATATATATATAATTTCCCACTAACTGAGAGGCTCCTTACATGTTTCTGCCCATGTCCTCTGCTTAGCCAATCAAACTACCATAATCACTGCCAGCAGGTCGTATCTCTGTCTCTAGCAACTTTTTCTTATAGAAATTGCTTGGTTCAGGTAGTGAGTTTTATTGCCCTTTACCTCCACATATGAGAAAAAATAAGATAGAGGGTTATAACGGGAGTGGGTCTCTGGTAGCCCGCCCTGTCAATCTAGTTTATTTTTTTGTTTATGAAAAAGTTAAGTGGGATCGGCTACAGTAGAAACATTTGGAATATCCCATTGCATATTTTCCACCTATGTGAGATTGTCTATTTACTTTTATCTCCTGCTTCCTGTTACTTAACTGGTTGCTAATCGATAAGAGGACCCTTCCTGTTATGTGATTGCTAAATTTACCTAGGAAGGCCCTTTGTTGAGTGACTTTGTCAGCAGCTTTCTGGAAGTCCATATACATAATGTCTACTGCATCACCACTAAGTACAAGCCTGTTGAATTGCAAAGAAATCCAAAAGATTGGTGAGGAGGACTTTCCATTGCAGAAAACCACTAGTTCTTCCCCTGAAGGGCTAGGTCTTCTGTGGTTGATAATTCCTATCTTTACAAATGCTTCCCACTAATTTATTTAGAACTGATGGCATTTGGTTTGTAATTTCCTGGCTCCTCCCGGAACCCTTGTTGTATTGGCTGTTTTCCAACCTTTGAGTAAGGAGGTCAGTTTTAGTGACATGTTCCAAATGTTAGTTAGTACATCATTTTCACTAAGGAGTTTTTGAGATCTCTGATGCTTTTAACAATCTAAAGATAGATATATAAATATGAAAATATCTTAACTACTTGCTTCCAGGCAAAGACAAGAAATGGAATTTCTGTTTCCCAATAATGTGAGAATTCTAATACTAAAGATTGTCTCCTTTGCTTGCTTACTTGCAAATGTACAGCTTTTTAAAATTACTATTTTTAAAAAAAATCACAATGGTTTGTTTTTTTACCAGTACTGAACATTGCATTTTTATTTTATTTCTATAAATATTTATATAGTGCTGAATCATAAAGATACATCACAGCCATTTACAATTGTGATGGCCTCTGCAAAATATATTTGGACTGAACTGTTTCCCCCCCCCCTCTCCTATCATATGGCTCCTTCACAATTCATCTTTATATAGGTTTTCCATACGTCAGGAAAATTCCTGACATGTCCTGGTTCAGGGGTATTAAAATGGCATCGGGGCAATTTTGCCAAATTGGCAAAATGTCAGGGAAAACCTGGATGAATGGCAACATGATAGAAAAAGTAGTGGAAACAGCAGGGGCGTAGCTAGCTGCACCCGGAGCGGCGGGGGCAGGGCGAGCCACCCATGGGGGCGCCGCAGCGATCTGCGCATGAGGGCACCACCCAGGGGTGCCACAGTGATCCGCCCAGGGGGGCGGCGATCTGCCCACAGAGTCCATCTGGCACATGCAAGCCCCACACTGCTGTTTTGGGCAGTGTGGGGTTCCGTGCCACCGCGTCACTCCCAGGAGAGATGCGTAGCTCAGGCGTGTTGCAGGCCAGGCTCCACAGTAAGTGCCACCCCACCCCCCGCGGTGTGCTATTTTGTCACGCCCCTCAAGGATGACACCCAGGACGTACCACACACCTCACCCCCCCATTCCTACGCCCCTCAGAAACAGCTCCAAAAGCTTAAAATCACTAGAGTGGTACCTCAGGTTAAGAACTTAATTCGTTCCGGAGGTCCGTTCTTAACCTGAAACTGTTCTTAACCTGAAGCACCACTTTAGCTAATGGGGCTTCCTGCTGCTGCCATGTCGCCGGAGCACGATTTCTGTTCTCATCCTGAAGCAAAGTTCTTAACCCGAGGTACTATTTCTGGGTTAGTGGAGTCTGTAACCTGAAGCGTATGTAACCTGAAGCGTATGTAACCCGAGGTACCACTGTATTTTGTGTTGAGGTTTTCCCCCAAAAGCTCAACAATTTGGGTTTGTTCCCCAAAAAGATTCTCAACCATTTTGGTGGTTTCCTAAAAAAAAAAGTTCGGCAATTTGGGGGTCTGCCAAGTAAAAAGCCACTTTATGGGTGTCAGGAATTTTACTTTTTGAAATATGGCAACCCTATCTTTATACTTAACAGACTTTATTGTTTCTCCTCCTCTTCTGAGATTTGCAATGTAGCCGAAACCGCTCTTTCTCTTCTTCTAACTGCCTTAAGTTATGCGGGTTTTTTTTCTTTTCAGACCATTTTGATTTTCCCAAAGGTTTTCTCTCTCTCTCTCTCTCTCTCTCTCTCTCTCTCTCTCACATTACTTTTGATCTTCGGAGTTTCCGCCCACGTGACTTTCAGTTGAGTCCCTTGCAGCTTCCGAGAAACCACAGCAGCTAAGTTCTAAAGAGAGGGAACTATCAGAGTGAGCTGCAGACTCTAAAAGGACAGGAATGTAGACGCTGGGAGAGTGTCAGAGAAAGTGACCAAGAAGCCAGAAGGAGAGGGAAAGGAGGAAAGAGGAAAAATCAACAGAAAAGTAGTGGAGGAATCACCAAAGACCACCAGGAAGCAAGAAAGGAAAGACGACAGGCAGGGGGAGCTGTAAGCCATGCCCCATAGCTCTGACAGCAGCGACTCCAGCAGCTACAGCCAGTCCTCTTCATCCAGCAAACAGGTACAGTTTGGGCAATTCCTTTTGAGTTAATTTTATGGCCGTCTCTCCTTTTTTCTAGCAGGGCTCCTGTGCCTTGAGCACAAAACACAGAAATTCAACAGATGCGGCATCTCCTAGCATGGGGAAAACTTTACCTATAGGATTTCTGCCTGTTTATGCTTAAAGGCACCAGAATAACTCCAGAAATGAAATATGAACTCCAATGGATACCGTCTTGCCACTTTGCCAAACACTTCTCGTTCATCTCGTGTGCTGAAACAGAGAGGAACAGAATGAATGAGAAACGTTCAGCACTGTCGGGATTTTCGTAGGACTTTGAAGGAACTGATGTAGGGACAAACCCAGGAAAATGCTATTCAGAAAAGCTAAACCAAAGATAAGAAGCTAGGCAATAGGGTAATACGAAACAGTTAAAATCAAAGCAATGCAGGGACCGAATGAGGAAGCTTGGTGATACTCTTGCAGAAAAGCACCACAAGTGTCATTGATGGCCATCGTAGCAGAATAACTGTTTACAGATAGGTGGCATAAAATGTCCTCATCTGCTTGGCACTGCTCAAGCCTCTGCTGGATTGTGCCATTCTCCCTGGGGTGAAGTCACGGTCCCAAAAAAGAAGAAACTTTGGAGGTCATAGAATCATAGAATTGTAGAGATGGAAGGGACCCCATGGGTCATCTAGTCCAACCCCCTGCGATGCAGCAATCCTGCCCATAGCCATCCCTGGGTGGGCTTGAACTTAGCAGCCAGGTGTGCTGATCCATTGTGGTCCTCTCAAGAAAACATTGAAGGAGTTAAGATGCCTCCAGCACCACAACTACCCAAGATGGGATAAGTTTTAAAATCCTAAGATGGAGACCAGATATTTACTTTGCTAGGAACAGGTCCTTAAAACTTGAACAAATCTGTGCAAAGAGTTCATAGACTCATATACTAAAGGAAGTAGGAACCCTACAAGAATTGTTAAACACAACTCAGCAAGCGATTATCCAAGGAAGGCATGAAATTACATCATTGGACATGATGTAATTTTTTTTAAAGTGAGGCAAAGACATGGGTGAATCGATTTTTTTATCTTAACATTTATATCCCTCCCTGCTTCTTTCATGAAACCCAAGGCAGCATACGTATGATTCTCAGGTAGTCCATCACCTATTGAGAGATACTAAGCAGGCCTAAACTGGCGGAGCTTTGTAAGCTGGTAGTCTCATGTGCCTTCACGCTATATCCTAGCACCATAGCTAGGTTGGGATTGGTATGTTGGGGGACTGTTACACAAAACCCAATACTGTAGTTCAGGAAAGGGGAATTTGTGGCTCTTCAGATACTGTCGGACTACGGCTGCCATCAGCCCCAGCCAACATGGCCAATGGTAAGGAATGATGGGATTTGTAGTCCAGCAACATCTGGAGGTCATCCTTCCCTGCTCTAGTTAACTGAATGTAAGATGAACACCCCAACTGTTTTGTATTGAGAGTTCCAAAAGGGTTGTTGCTCAACTCTGATGTCTCATGTAATTAACCTGCTGGTTCTCCTGATCCTGAGATGCACTTACTTATCCTGCATTAGGAATTGGGGCAAATTTAGGGGAGGGGAGGGGAGGGTCCTCCATCAAGCTAATACTGAACCTGCCATGGAGACAATGGAGGAGGAGAGAGAATTGCTGAGAAAAACGCTTCCTTCTGCTTTCTATCCCAGCATTGCCATTCTATGCAAGATTCTTACATGTACAGATGTTAAGATGGTATTCCTGTTGTCATACCTTGTATTACGTGATTCCCCTCACCCAGGAATCTTCGGATGATATGAGAAAAGTACAAAGAAGAGAAAAGAATCGTATTGCAGCCCAGAAGAGCCGACAGAAACAGACACAGAAAGCAGATACCCTGCACATGGTAAGAACGTCCATCCCCTACCCACCAGGATTTCTCTGGTATTAGCCCTGTTTCATGCAGGTGTGGTGATAAAATTGTTCCTGGACTGTACCACCACAGACTGCAGGTTGGCAATTGTGTGGCTGGGTGTGCCTTTTTGTAAAAGCTCCTTTCATATAATTCAATATTCATTTTTGTTGTTGTTGCTTTAGCAATCTGCCATATAGGGCCCTCACAGGAAAAGAAAGGCTCTCTCTTCTTGATTTACGGGAGTCTAGCAGGCAAATCAGCAGAACCTTTCTCCCTTAGTATAGTTCCCCCGCTTGTTCCTATATCAGCAATGATGTCAACTCATTTCAATACTTTTATGCACTTAATAACACAGATACCACAAATTATCCAGAGCATACACCCTGAATCCCATGGTATACTGTATATGCATTGAGGTGAGCATATGCATTCCTATACCTTCCACAGTACTGCAATGCTAGTACAGTGGTACCTCAGGTTACATACGCTTCAGGTTACATACGCTTCAGGTTACAGATTCCGCTAACCCAGAAATAGTGCTTCAGGTTAAGAGCTTTGCTTCAGGATGAGGACAGAAATCATGTTCTGGCGGTGCGGCGGCAGCAGGAGGCCCCATTAGCTAAAGTGGTGCTTCAGGTTAAGAACAGTTTCAGGTTAAGAACGGACCTCCGGAATGAATTAAGTACTTAACCCAAGCTACCACTGTACTGAGCACTGGGTAAAAGTAAGCAGCAATCACACATATCGAACGCTATATCTGCATGTAGATACCAAGATACAGTATAATGGAGACAAATTCTCACCTAGTCTTCTCTCTGATATGCTAGTTTTATGTGGGCAAGTCGTTTTTCTTTTTCACCAGAAAGCATCCAAGCATGCAATTCCCCACCTGCTGTGGTACATTCCAAGTACAGATCTAGTCCGCTTGTTGCTCTTCTTTTCTGTCTGAACTAGGCCCGTGACTCAGCTCTGCACCAGATCGCTCACATTTATGGCCAATGTCTTTTGTTTGTGGCTCCAGAACTGCTGAAACTGGCCACAGTTGCAAACACAACTGCTTCTGCTGTGGGAAAAGCAGTATCTGCACAACAAGAGCAGTGCCTTTGTCTGAAGATAAAAGAGCAGATGGGGAAGGGCAATAGCTCAGTAGCAGAGCACACAATTTACACCCAAAAGGTCCCAGGCATCTTTAAGGAGGGCTGAAAAAGACCCTTGCCTGAACCCTAGAAATCTGCTGCCAGCCAGTGTCGACAATAGCCTTCAGTAAGATAATGCAGAATCCAATGAGGCTGCCTTTGGAAAGATATTTTCAGCAGTACAGTGATACCTCGGGTTAAGTACTTAATTCGTTCCGGAGGTCTGTTCTTAACCTGAAACTGTTCTTAACCTGAAGCACCACTTTAGCTAATGGGGCCTCCTGCTGCCGCCGCACCACTGGAGCCCGATTTCTGTTCTCATCCTGAAGCAAAGTTCTTAACCTGAAGCACTATTTCTGGGTTAGCGGAGTCTGTAACCTGAAGCGTATGTAACCTGAGGTACCACTGTATGCCATGCCGCCAATCTTAATTGCAAACCGGACTTTAAAGGAGAGCAGCCTTGTTCTCTGTACGAAACGTTTCCCCGTGTTTTTGCACCTACAAGGAGAGGGAAGCTCCCCTCCCCTTTATCTTCTGGTGAATTTCCCCATTGCGTTGCCGCTTTCCCCAGCTGCTGAAAGAAACAAGTGAGAATTTCCTTCTAGGCCAGTAGCAGGTTTCCTGTGGCAGGTGGTTTTTCTACTTCTAGATGGCAGTTGTTGACCTCCCCACCCCCACTCCGTCTCCTTAAGGCCTGAGCCGCACGCTCTCTTGGGTCAGGATGTCTGTGGCCTAGGAAATACGCCTGTGGGCTTGGTGACAGGCAGTGGGAACCTACAGGCGGCGGAGGATACACTGCTGTCATTTCTCATAAGTCGCCGGCTGGGGAGAGAGTGCGGCCAATGAATGAAAATGTCATCCGCTATCAGCACAGGGCTGGGTTCTCTGCTTGGGTTTGCCCAGAACATGAGTTTACAGGAAGAAAACGTCAGTCAATCAGCCTGGAAACTCTAGAGTAGCTAGCGAAAAAAGGCTATGAACCCCACCCACACAGACCCTTTCCCACTACCACTTCTTAGATACAGTACTGCAGTCAAAAACAGAGGCCTGCTCATTTTTATTTATTTTTTAAATCCTGCTCCATCTGCTCTGGGTGGCTTCCAACAAAATATAAAGGAACATGGCAAAACATGAAACATTAAAAGCTTCCTGAAACAAGGCTGCCTTCACTTGTCTACAAAAAGTCAAACAATTGCTTATCTCTTTGTTTATCTGATGGGAGGGCATTCCACAGGATGGGGCGCCACTACCGAGAAGGCCTTGTTCCCTGTAACTTCCCTTTTTGCATTGAGAGGGAATTGCCACAAGGCCTTCAGAGCTGGACCTCAGTGTCCAGGCTTAACGATGGGGGTGGAGATGCTCCTTCAGGTATACTGGGCCGAGGCTGTTTAGGGCTTTAAAGGTCAGCACCAACACTTTGAACTGTGCTTGGAAAGCGCACTCCGCCCCCCTGCCACTTTTGGGGCCTAGCAGACGGGAGAGGTTTCTAACTGAAAACTATATCTTTAAAGCAAAAAAAAATAAAAAAATTATGATGCTTCTTGCTGTGAATCTCTTCTTTCTACAAATGTACCTAAGGCCTATTTTGCATGTTATAAAAGGGCTCCAGGCAATGTACCTTGTAGAAAGCCATACTTTCTAATTTTCTAGAATGTAATATTATATTTATATCCTGCCTTTTGTATAAGTAGCTCAAGGGGGCATACTCGGTTCTCCTCCCCATTTTTATCCTCACAACAACTTAATGAGGCTTAAGTTAGGCTGAGAGACAGGGACTGGTGCATGGTCTCCCAGTGAGTTTCATGGCTGACTGGGAATCACCAGGTCTCCCAGGTCCTAGATGGACGCTCTAACCCAGTGATGGCCAAACTAGGCCCACCAGTGGTTTTGGGACTACAGTTCCCATCATCCCTGACCACTGGTCCTGTTAGCTAGGGATGATGCGAGTTGTAGTCCCAAAACAGCTGGAGGGCCAAGTTTGGCCATCCCTGCTCTAGAACCAGAGCTTCCTATCCTGTGGTGCTCCCTTTAGTGCCTCTCCCGAAGCAGAAGTCTCCTTTCCTCCTCAACAGCCTGGATGTTCTCAACATGAGTGGTTGTTGAGAGGCACCAAATAAGCAGGGCTATTGCAATTGGTACAGCAGGCACAAAAAATAATAATTAAGTGGCCTGCAAAGGCCCTCAGCAATTTTCAAGTGTCTACAGAAAACAAGGGACACGGGTGGCGCTGTGGGTTAAACCACAGAGCCTAGGGCTTGCCGATCAGAAGGTCGGCGGTTTGAATCCCCATGACAGGGTGAGCTCCCATTGCTCGGTCCCTGCTCCTGCCCACCTAGCAGTTTGAACGCAAGTCAAAGTGCAAGTAGATAAATAGGTACCGCTCCGGCGGGAAGATAAACGGCGTTTCCGTGCGCTGCTCTGGTTCACCAGAAGCGGCTTAGTCATGCTGGCCACATGACCCGGAAGCTGTACGCCGGCTCCCTTGGCCAATAAAGCGAGATGAGCGCCACAACCCCAGAGTCAGCCACAACTGGACCTAATGGTCAGGGGTCCCTTTACCTTCAGAAAACAAAGTTGGGGAAACCACTGCCCTATACCACACTGGCTCACTTGATGTGTGTATTCACATGGAAACCCATAGCATGACCCCCAAGTTCTGTACACATCTGCATGGGCCACAGTTCTCTGTTGCAATTCCTGTGACTTTGGTGACTGAAAAAAACAAGTGTCACTACAATTGTGGGAATTGGCAACCGCAAACCTCAGAGATCATCACTTCATCTGTTGTGGAGAAAATAATTACTGGATGCCCTCCCTCCTCCTTTTCAGCTTCTAGCTCTGAAGAACAGAAGCAAATTGAGTAGCACAGGAGTAGCTGGGGATACACCTCCCTGCCAGGAAAGATGAAAGGAAATAATTCTGGTAATCTAGACAGGGCTGGAAGGCAGCTAAATTATTGCCCGCCCTCTCCTTTCTCTTTCAGGGCCAAACTAGACTTGACATTAAATGTGTCTTTGCTTTTAACTTTTTAAATACAAATAACACCAGTTGGGGGAGGAAGTGATAATTATCTGGATCTTATGGGGGGTATTTAACCATTTCCTCCCCTGCTGCAGTTCTGAGGAAAATCCCTCCTCTGAAGCTAGTATTTGCATTAAAAGGAAATTCCCCCATTGGGGCCTTAAGAGATGAAGAAAAGGATTGCTTATGCTGCTCACAGGACATAGCAGGATGCAAGCTAAGACCTCTTTCTCCCTTGAGCTGCAAGTATCAACCTGTGTTTTTCATAATGCCCACTGTTAAAAGATACAGCTAGTTTCTTGAACTGTCCTAAACTCATAATTAACTAACCACCCTCCACCAGTGGCTGATCTTGGGGTCTCAAAATTTCAGCAGCACCCTGCACGGTGCAAAAATTCAGTGCCTCTCCGCCTCTCATGCTGCACTCTAAACCACCACCTCTATCCTCCACCTTATAGTGAGATCCTGCTTTCTTTTATTTATATCCCCAATGTATCATTTCCATGCCCTTTTCTCACTTTTACTAGCATGTTGGAACCTTGTTTACTCATTCAGGTTCCACACTGATAATGGTAATCCATCAGTCTATTAAAACAGGGCTATATACAGTTCCTTGACAGGACTTTAAAATAGAGGCCTGCAGCAGGGCTCCTTGCCCCTTACTAGGAAAGGAGGGAAGAGTCTGGGCTATATAGGATTCTCTGGGGAAAGCTGCATGCTTTAAATCAGGGGTGGCCAACTCCCAAGAGACTGCAATCTACCAATAGTTAAAAACTGGCAGTGATCTACCCCCTTTTTTGAGGTTCTGGTCTAAGTTGTAGAGCTTTTTTAGGGAGGAGGAAAGCCCCGTTTTTAGGGGTTCAGGTCACAGTAGTTGAGCTTTTTTTAGGGGAGACAAAATTGGGGGGAGTCGGTGATCTAACAGTGATCTGCCAGATCCGCTCTACTTCCCCATGGGGAGGAGTTGCGGTGGACCGCATGGCCATCCACTCCCCACCAGGGGCGGGGGACTTTGTCCCCCATTGCCCGGGGGATCCCGGCCACATCAGAACCCGGCCAGCCAATCCGCTGGGCAGGGCCGTTTAAACGGAGGAGCAAACCGGAGGACTTCCTCTTGGACCGGACTTCCTGCGCAGCAGGCAGGAGTCAGATATACGTAGTTGGGTCCAATCAATGCTTAAGCCAATACTGCTCACATTCTGTAATTCAGTAAAGTTGTGGCCAAATATGCCGAATAACTTAAACTTAATATCTGTGTCCTGGTGTGAGTTATTTCCCAATGAGGGGGTGGCTGAGGGGTCTCGATACGCAATAGATCACGATCTACCTGTTGGACATGCCTGCTTTAAATGTACAGTAATATAAATTTATGGTGTGGATGCAACTTCCTTCTTTCATCCTCTTTTACCTCAGTTTTTCCTCGCCGTGTCACCTACATAAAATTAGGCCAAGGCCTGCATTTGGCCCTTCAGCCGGTGGACTGCCCCATTTTCTTTCCCCACGGTGGGCCTATAGTTTCTGTTATGTACTGAAGTTCTCACCCTGGGCCAGCAGGGGGATACTGTAGATAGTTATGCAAATAAGGGATCAAAAGTGACGTTCAGTGATTGGATAGTTTTAGAAAATTGTTACAGTTACATTGTACTGGAGCTCTATACAAGCAGCTGACTGAGCCCTTCAGTTCAGTTCTGTCCTGGCCTGTGAATAAACAAGAGCTGTTTGAAGAATCGCTGTGTTGTCTGATACGTTCACCCACAACTTAACAGTTTCTAACTGATCCCCCCCCCTTTTCTTTAAAGGAGAGTCAAGACTTGGAGAGGCAGAATGCTGCTTTGCGCCGGGAGATCAAGCAACTGTCAGATGAACTGAAACACTTCTCTGCCATGCTGACTTCCCACGAGACTCACTGCTCCATCCTCCATACGCAGCCCCCAGCACCCACCGAAGTGCTTTTCACGCCACTCCCCTTTCCCCAGACCCACATCAGTGCCCCATGCTTCCAGCACTGAGAGCAACTTCTAGGACTGGGAAAAGTTTGCAGACTCTATGCCTGGACAGAAGGAGGAGGAGGAGAGATGAACTTCACCACTATGGACCATTTGGGGGGTGGTATTCCCATATATCTGTTGGCAGGTGCTGTCCTGAATAAGCAGTAAAATGTCAGTAGGATTTGGCCTTTGTGAAGAACCTGTGACATGCTAGACTCATCTGCAGGGTATTGTGTGTGTGATTTAATGTACAGTAACCACTATCAGTACTGTTCTGTTGTTTGCACTGATCTTCTTATCACAGAGCCTTGTACAATAAGCCATGTTCTGTTGTAAAATGTATACTAGTGGTTCTGTGGACACAGAGAACAAAAGGTGTTGTTCCATTATTTTTTTAAATAAAGATCTCTTTTATATATATATACAGTATATATATATAAGTTTAATGTTTTATTTTTTAAACCTGGTCTGACCTTCCCTTGCAGAGTTAAGAAACAACGAGACAAGGAAAACTGGGCAAGGAAGCCACTATGAATTGTTGCTGCATATTCAGGACAAAATACATGTTCTACATGATGAACAATGCTGTGCTTGGGGTTTTGTTTGCTAAATAGCAGCCACAGAGGAGACCAGGGCGGACTAAGACTGCAGTGGTGGTGGTGGTCAGGGAATTTAACCCTCTGTCCTAGCCATGGTCCTGATCCAAATTCCTCACCCACAGCTGCTATTTGCCCTGGGAGGAAGTCATTCTGAGGCTGCTTCCAGATTGTCACTACTTTGCAGGTGGGATTTAAGGATATGATGGCAAATTTAGGGTTGTACAGTGAAAGTGGACTTGAACTCTTCCAACCACAACAAACCCACTTCCAAAAATATCAAACTTTCTGTGGTAACTTGCGACAGGGTAATGCACTAGCAAGTTTGGGGTGGCAACTGAGTGGTGCATCGTATAATAACCTTCCTCCAAACAAGCAGACACCCCGAAAAGTTTTTGCAAATAAATCAGGACAAACGCTCAGTAAAAAGGTGGTCTACTCTGGTGGATAGAAAATCTGGTCCTGAAATTTTTTGTAATAAGTTATGCAATACACAGAGGCAGCGAGCTGTGTAGTTATATTACTAATTGGTTTGGGAGATACAGTACAGCACAGCTATGGCACAAATTCCATAAAGCCAGGCATAATCTGTTCTGTCTTTTGAAATAATTACATAAAAACACCAAATTTGAAGTATTTCCTGTTACCTTTCCCCCTCTGATGGGAGCTACTGTCCAGTCCGCCATATAGCTGCAATGGAGAACTTGAGGCTGCATCTCTGCACATTAAAGACAGCTTCCATTGAGAAAATTGGACCTGATAAATACTTGTTAAAACTTGTGTTAGGGAACAGGGGTGTAGACAGGATTTTTGTTGGGGGGAGGCAGGACTCTGTTAGGGGGGGCAGAACCGTCATGTTACTTAAGCACTTCTATTGTTTTACTTGATGGGGGGCAGCTGCCCCTCCTTGCCCCCCTGACTATGCCCATGTCAGGGAAGGTGAGGGAGAAAGTGAGAAGCCTGCAAAATTCCTGATGCCTGCTTGTGTGTTTAAAGCAGCTGCTCCCATTCCCTATCTTACTAGTTTTCCCAGTGATTTTTCTGATCTGAGGAGGATTTGAGGCTGTGGTAATTCTCAGCTGCAACATTCTTCAGTGGAATAACATCCACGCTGTGTCTTTTTGTCCAGAAAGGGTCTTGTGTGAGAAGCTTTGATAAACAGAGAACATATTGTTCTCCTGCTGTGGAGCAAATACTATTGTTGCATAAAAAAACTGCCATAATTCCCATACGGAATACAAAAATGGCAACTTTAGGCAAAACTAAAAAAAAAAAAAAAAGCTCTTATCACCGGGGTTTTCCCTCCACACCCAGCCCAGTGATCTCTCAATTGCCTTGCATAGTACAGTGGTACCTCGGGTTAAGTACTTAATTCGTACTTAACCTTTTCTTGCAAGGAATCCTATTCGGAATAAGGGACTTTCCCTTTAAAAAAGGGAAACGTTGACAGCTATGGTGGTGAAGGTACAGTGGTACCTCTGGTTACGTACTTAATTCATTCCGGAGGTCCATTCTTAACCTGAAACTGTTCTTAACCTGAAGCACCACTTTAGCTAATGGGGCCTCCTGCCTCCGCCACGCCGCTGGAGCAAGATTTCTGTTCTCATCCTGAAGCAAAGTTCTTAACCTGAAGCACTATTTCTGGGTTAGTGGAGTCTGTAACCTGAAGCGTATGTAACCTGAGGTACCACTGTAGATATGAAAAGCAGGGCTGGATCTCTCTAAGGCTCTCTAACTGGCCCTCAAAGACTCTCTCCAGGCCACGGCCCCTTCCCAGCTGCACCGCCTACCAAATTTGCTTTGCACACACCCCTCCAGTGCTTTCCCCTATTCCGTCCTTGAACTCTGATTGGTCCTCTTGCTTCCTTCGAAGGGGAACAGAGAGGGGTGTGTAGACACTGACTAGCCTACTGTACAAAGGTAAAATTTGCATTCATTGCTCTGCCCTCTTGAGGCACTGGCCCCACTCATCCCTGGCATGTGGCCCCTAGAACATTGATCAGAAGGGAATGTGGCCCCTAGCTAAAATATACAGTATTCCCCTCATCTGCCCAGAATCATGGGGGCAAGTGAGGATGGAAAGCCCCATGAAATGTCCCTTGGACCTTTGAAATACCCATTTATAGTAGAGGGAGGGGAACTATAAGGCACTCATACAAAAACTACTAGTGGGAAGTCCTGCCTAAAAATAATTTTTTAAAAAGCCACTTCAGGTGGGCATATTAGGAAGCTGCCTAATTTGGTCCATCTAGCAAAGTATTGTATCCATTGACTGACAGCCAGTGACTCGCTAGGATTTCAGACAGGAGTCTTTCTCAGTCCTACCTGAAGTTTGTTTCTTTGCTTATTTCAAACCTATGCTTCCAGGTGCCATAAGAAGGCTGCAGAGATAGTACAGGACAGCATGCACCCTGGAAATTATCTCTTTCAGCTTCTGCCTTCTGGAAGAAGGTACAGGGTTATAAAAACTAGGACTAGCCGCCTGAGAAACAGTTTCTATTCAAATGCGATTTTGGTTTTAAACGCAGTGTAAGGTAGTCTCTATGGGAGTATATTGAATTTAATTATGGGGTATCAGAGTTTTTAGGGGGCTAACCAGGCTGGGATAGCTGGGATAGCAGGCTTGTTGGTTTTTCAATGTCTAATACAGATTTTTTCAATTTTGTTGTTCTGTATGGGGCAATGGCAATAAAGATTATTGTATTGTATTTATATATATATATAAAATTAATATACCACTGTAGCCTCCAAGCAATGTAAGGATTGAATCTGGAACCTCTTACATTCAAAGTATGTGAATACACCACTATTAGTGATGGCCCTTCCCCCTATTCTGAGACAAATATTCCTTGTGGGATTAGAAGCCAGAGATCAGAATTAAGAATTTAAGAAGAGCATGCTGGATCAGGACTACAGCCATTTAGTCCAGCATCCTCGAAGTGGCCAGCCAGAAGCCTGTGCGAAACCTGCAAGCAGGACTTGAGTGCAACAACCCTCTCCCCTCCGGCATCTGCCAGCAACTGGTATTCAGAATTCGTAAGGCGAGGTCTTGTATAGTAAGCAATGCTCATACTGAACGAAGAGGCTGTTGCGATGTCATTGTGTAATGCCAGGAGGCCAAGTATCAGATGGATTTGAACTTCAAGTCAATGGAGTAAAGCAAGCAAGCATACAACAAGTTGCAAAACCCAGGAGACTGGTCAGTGTGAGAATAAAGGTAGAGGAAATGTAAAGAAGGAGCAAAACTAGGAACAAAAGAAGGTTAATTTACCTGCTGGAGGACTAAGTTTGGAATCTGTGTCAACAGTGGAGGAAGAAGTTGAGGAGGACTAGAGGAAGACCCTACTGCATGGCTCTTTAAAGTTTTAAATAGTATCTTGGTTTTTCTCAGAAGGGGAAGAAATGGAGGCAGTGACAGATTTTACTTTCTTGGGCTCCATGATCACTGCAGATGGTGACACGAAATTAAAAGACGCCTGCTTCTTGGGAGAAAAGCAATGACAAACCTAGACAGCATCTTAAAAAGCAGAGACATCACCTTGCCAAGAAAGGTCCGTATAGTTAAAGCCATGGTTTTCCCAGCAGTGATGTATGGAAGTGAGAGCTGGACCATAAAGAAGGCTGATCGCCGAAGAATTGATGCTTTTGAATTATGGTGTTGGAGGAGACTCTTGAGAGTCCCATGGACTGCAAGAAGATCAAACCTCTCCATTCTTAAGGAAATCAGCCCTGAGTGCTCACTGGAAGGACAGGTCCTGAAGCTGAGGCTCCAATACTTTGGCCACCTCATGAGAAGAGAAGACTCCCTGGAAAAGACCCAGATGTTGGGAAAGATTGAGGGCACAAGGAGAAGGGGACGACAGAGGATGAGATGGTTGGACAGTGTTCTCGAAGCTACAAACATGAGTCTGACCAAACTGCGGGAGGCAGTGGAAGACAGGAGTGCCTGGCATGCTCTGGTCCATGGGGTCATGAAGAGTCGGAGACGACTAAATGACTAAACAACAACAACAATAAACAATGCTTTAGCATAGCATCTGTTGAGCATAACCAAATATGAGTTTTTCCATCTTTGAGAGATGACCAACCTGGCCGCAGCCAATAAGCAAATTACAGGCGTTTGCAATCAAGGGTAGCATTATCCCTTTCAAACACAGAACAAAAGCACAGTTTAGGATCTTATCCTAACCACGTTCTCTAGACTAGAGAATAAGTTCCCCTGATTCCAGGATGACCAGCTTTCAAGTAAGCATAGTACAAAATGAAGCATTTGTTGCAAATGCTGACATCTATTGGCCCTAAGGAGAACTGCAGCATTAACAACTAAGAGTGCTGAACTTTTAAACAATGGAATCCTACACTGTAAGTACACCTTAACTTAGAATCAAGTCTCACTGAGTTCAGTGGAGTTCACTCCAAAGTATGTGTGCATTTCTGATTCAACACAATCCGTTTAGATAATGGCTACTTGTGTTAATGCAGACTATGATAATCTTATGATGACTAATTCTGGTTACACCTCAAAGGTCAGTGCTGAACCTCTTCACTTGCTGACACGTCCAACTTTGCAATCACATGATTTTCATTTGTGACATTTGCTTTAAGTTTCAATTTCATTATAAATAAGGACCTCACCCCAAAAAAGGGGGAGGAATCAGGTAATCCCAGATAGGCAGAAGACCCACCTCGCATATTGTGCATGGGGAGATGAGCTTTTGGTCCTTCCTCCATCATGCAAATTAGAATGCCAGCTCAGCCTGGGGGGGGGGACGGGACCAAAACTGCAAATACAATAGCAGGATGAAAATGTATTAAAGAGTAGTTAAGATAAGT